ATTTCAGTAGCATTCCTCACCATCACCTCTTTCTAGGGTTTTATGACTAGAAAGCAGCATATATAATTGGTGCCATACATAATTTCTTTCCAGAAGTTTTTTTTCTGGGAAGTTTTCTGGTGAGAAGTATTTTTAAAGCCGAGCCTGCTTCCATATTTGCTTGAATTGGCTATTGAGGCAGGCAGAGTTGAGTGGCGCTCACAGAGTGAAATACAGGAGTATGGCAAAATAAGGCACTATTGCAAAGATTAAATYATGTTTTAAAAGTGATAGTGGAACAAAAGGAGCCTACTGGAAAACTGTATAGTTCACTACAAAACCTTTCAAGCTCCTCAAGCTCTTCAGCAGGGCAAAATCCATGCCTGTAGTAACCTTGCCTCACTGGTGCTTCCAGAAATTCATCCTTAGTCAAATTAATGCAATAAAGTTGACTTAACAATAACATTTTTAAAGAGTGTTATAAAATTAGATTAATCTATTAGAAGAAGAGATTCCAGAAGAGTTTTGATTTTTGAAGAGTTTTGATTTTTATTTTTTACCTTGTTTATATCAGTCGAACGTTTATTGACAGATTGACCAAGTCTCCGTGTTTATTTTAAGGGCTTTAGCTTTATAAAATGTTGTTTCTTGTTACTCAGCAAGTGCTAAAGAAAGCAAAAATGCAAGCACAGGTTTCTGTAAAGATATTCAGCACCAAGTTAATAATGCTGCTTAAATAATATTCAGCTATATAGGTTTGAGGGGAAAAAACATACTTCTGAAAAAGAATTTATTATTTTCAAGCTACATCCCATTTCTTCAAACTGAAAACCATCTAAGGGCACATGAATATGGACACATAAACAGGCTAACTGTTGGGAAGTGATGCTGTCCCTGCTGGGAAGGCCTGCAGGCAAATGATGAGTTACCCAGCACTGACTTGCCCATTTTCAGTGCGTGGCCAACTCATTTTTATACAACTACTATAGAACAATTTGCTGCAGATTTGTCTCAGACTCCTCATTCTTGTTCATGTATATGTATATGTAGACTGAGTGGAAAGAATAATTTGATCAAATCTAGCATTGGGACTGTGATTCCTACATCAGGAATGTTGTTCAAGCCCATGGAAGAACGACAGCTTGTACTTGCACAGTGCAGCTCTGTCCCACGAAGCTTTCCGAGTCTGAAGCACAACTAACATTAAAAACATGATCCAGAATGACCCCAAGCTTCTCAGCAGCTCAGCTCYGTGTTTTGGAAGGGACAGATTTTTCTTCTCATTGTAGGTTTTTAAAACCCACTGATGTAGCACAGCTGAAGGGTGAGAAGAGTAGAGCTGACGTGTGGAGGTGCTAATAGGGACATAAAGGTGTCTGAGTTGACTCRAGAGGAACCCACCTCCTGGAAGAACCACTCGTATTATGTTTAGCTCTTAGATGGAAATGAGACTAATACGCGGYTCCATGAAGATGCATCTGGCTTGTGCTCTGAAAGTACCAGTGCTTAAGTTTTAAGTTACCTAAAGGGAAGCAAAGAAAACAAAGCAAAATCAAAATATAACTTAGAAGTAGATTTCTCTATTTCTGCTGAAATTGGAAGCTGACTATTACATTTTTTGCCCCTGGAAGGACATCAAAATATGCAGCTTTTTTGCTTTATAGTAAGATACCATCCAGACCAAGACCGTTCGTATCGTGGATTTTCTCATCTGTAATTGTAGCACTGACCAGGGTGTGGATTGAGTTGAGGTGTATTTGCTATGAAGTTTTAAAACTATACCCATCCRGCAATACAAAAGAAGGTAGTTGGGAGTTCCCGCTTTCACTTACTACTCTGGAGAAGATTTGGGCCCTCCTACCCCCCAGGAAGTGGGTAAATAAGGACTAATGGCTCCCAACCCTGCACAAAAGGACCTCCTACCCTTCATTTAAACATGCAGGCCTGCTTTGTGAAACAGGCTAGCAAATAAAGCTGTTTCCAATAAAAATTTCCTGTTTCCTCTTGAGCACACTTGCCTGCTGTTTGCTTATACACCACCAAAGAATAAAGACTTCATTGTGCCCCTTTTTTTTTGGTTTTGCTTTGTTTTTCTGTCTAAGAGAATTTCTTGTGTATCAGGACATTTGAAAATAATAGTGTGATTTCTGTCTTAGCAGTAGTTCTTTCATAAGAGAAGCTACTGCTGGGGGATAAAAAGCAGCCCTGGACATACGTCTGTCAAGCTGCACATACGTTTTTGCCTGGAATGTATACGGACTTATAGTTTATTGCAGAGATTTTAACTGACTCTCTTGTCCTGACTGGCTTTAAGAAGGAATYGACCCTTCAGGAGCAGAGAGGGCTCCCACTCTTACCCCTCCTCATCCCAAACACCCTTGTTTATGGTGACAGGGACGTGCACGTACTGCCTGYGTCTGCTGGCCTAGGCATCCAAGGCTGCTGGGAAGCCAAGAGCCGGAGGGCCGAGGCTCCCGAGTGGCAGGAAAGCTGCTATTTGGGAAGTGTGGGAATAAGCTGCCCCTCCTCAGAGGACCTGAGTGTTTTGCCTGGTTCCCGTTTCAGCTATCTTAGTTTATTCTCAAAGGCAGATTACAGTTAGCTTGTGAAAGGGAACATTTTACCTGCCCGAGCTTTTAGCTCTTTTAAGTCTCCATTCTCTTATTTCAGGAAGGCTGCTGTGTGTGCCGAGGTTACTGCGTTGTCTGTCAGCAAATTAATACTGCCTTTAAGTGCTCGGTGCTGTCTTAAACCCATCCCTAGCATGGGATAAGCATTCAGCATAAGCTGAATGAATAGCAAGTGCACTGGTGTTTTATGATTCTTTGCCACTCTCGTGGGCAGCCAGGAGCAGCTTAGTTATTTCCCCACTTAAAGACCCAAACCCTTTCTTTCTTGGGGGATTCTCAAAGCTGTTGGGAAAGACAAGTATGGTCCAAAAATCCCAAAGGCACCTGATATTTCTGTGCTTACACAATATGACTTCTACATAACTTGCACATGCATTTTCAGAAAAGATATCCACAGTTTCATTGGGAACTTTAAAACTACTTGATAAATGCATATTTATGGTTTTATAGCTCTGGAAGCATTTTACAGGTCAGATACCTGGGGTGCTCTGCAAAGGACCTGTGGACAAACATTTAAAGTCATTTAAGAGCCATGTGGTAGGTAGGAATCTGACACTTCTGTCCATTGCACTGTGGGCATCTAGCTGCTTATTTCAGAAAACAAATACTGGTTATTGGGAATCAGTTCTTCAGTTTGCAATCAGAAAGAGCCCTTATAAGCATCCTTTAAAATTAATTGCAGAATGTTTTAGTTGCATCTAATATAGTAATATTCTGTTGTTTGGTTTTACTGTTATTAGTACACCTTTATTTTTAAAATCTATTTTATGTTCCTTTTTTACCTTGTTATCTTTCCCGTATACTTCCAGAATCTACCAAAATTAAAATCCAATTTTAAGCATAACTTTAAAATTCCTTGCAGTGAAGAATGCTTTTTCTTAATGAGTAGCTAAGTAAATATGCCTGTACGTGCTGGCTCTCATGTGGTCCCATAGCCCAAAGCTCAAGCAAACACAGGTTGCACAAACGCCTGCTTGTCGACTGCAGCGAGAGTGGGTTTCAGGCTGTTTATTTATCTGGAATGCTGGGCTTTGGCTCACCTTAAGCCCTTGGTTTGGATATATATCTTAGCAAAGCAGTTTGGCAAAGCACGCATATTCTAACTCTGTTGTAGCTAATTAGAAAATTAAGGGAGGACTGCTGTCATTTTGGAGACCCTGGAAGATGTTTGYTGTTTAATCTGATTTTAGCTGTGTGCATATACCTCCCTGGGAATATTTCATAACATGTGGCAAAATCCCAGGATATTTTACTTATGTTTAGTTGGCTGCTTGCTGCTCTATGTGCAGTAGCCTGTGTTCTCAGTAGTCATATTAAACTCAGTGCACACAGTTCTGCAGCAAGCAGCAACAGTCCTTTGGCAGTCCTGGAAACAGCAGCTTTGACACCTATCCAAGTAGGTGGTAAAATCATCTAGTCAGTTGTACATAATTAAGCTTTTCTTTTCTGGTCCATCAAGAAGAGTGAATATAATCAAAGCTGAATGAACTTTAAGAGTTTCTGACTGCTCGCTGTCTGATCTAAGTAGGGTGCTAAACAGCAGCACTTTCTTGAATGAGCAAATTTATCCCYGTCGATTTCCTGGACATTTAGAGAATACTCTAAATACTTTTTACATTTTTCTAACTTGTAATCTGATAAGATAACCTTTTTTTTTTCTCCTGCTTTTATTAGGAGATAATTTAGAAGTAGTTTATTCACAAGCTGAAATAAGCCATGCTCAGAATATTACCTTTCTTTTAGTGTCATGTAGGTATATGGAGATGCAGCATTTGAATTTCCTGTGATACATCAAGGAACCCATAAATGCCTCCAGYGCAGCCCAGGTCTCACCAGGCAGCAAATGTACCCTGGGGTGAGCTGCAGTGCAGTGTGTCCGTTGTCCGTAGGCTTGGGTCCATTCACACTGTCAGCAGGATCTTAAAGCACGGAGTATTATAAACCCTGCTAGGGATTTCTGACAAGATCTGAACCTCTGCTGAGAGGTTCGTATGGTTTAATGAGCAAAGGCTGCTCGTGCTGATGGTAGCTGTGGATTCGCTAGTGCCCACAAAATCTGTGCAGAATGATCCCTAAGTCTTGCAGTCTTTATCTGTGTCTTTAGTTTATTAAAGCTTTAGTTTATCAAAGCTTTATCTGTGTCTTTATTAAAGCTTAATTAAAGCCATTAAAGTAATGGGTGTTTGATAAAACACAGGTGGCATTTGCCAATCTAGATGAAGTTTGGTGGTGAGAAGGAAAGCAAGGAGGGAACAGGGAACCTGCGTTTCAGCTGGAAGTAGCTAAATATTTCTCTGTTCTTTTGGTAGCAGGAATAAAAGAAGCGGTAGAAAGGAAGTTCTTGTTTTGCAGCTCACTAACCCGTGGTGCCTTGTTTCTGTTCTCTTCCAGAAATTGAGGCCAAGGAAGCTTGCGACTGGCTGCGCGCYGCAGGATTCCCCCAGTACGCCCAGCTTTATGAAGGTAGGCGCCTGGGGCTCCACACGTGAGCCTTTGGTGGCATCCACGTGGAGCAAACACACTTATCTGCAGCTGTGGCGCTCAGAAGCCCTCTTGAAGTTTTACATTTGCTCTGGGTTTCTGATTTAGTGTGAATCTTCCAGATATTCTTACAGCATGAATCATATGTTAGCAGCATTGTACTTTCCCTGTAGTTAAAAAACAGATGAACTATGTTTTCATGCATATGACTATCCGTAGCTGGATTGTTTTCATCCTAAAGGTCCTTTTTTAGTATGTATGTTACCATTTCATTTTTTTCCCTGCCTACTTTAGTATTACTTGTGTTATGGTGCAACCATTAAGCACTCTTCCTCTTCATTTTTATGAAGCAAACTCCAGCTGCTGCTTGTAAGAGTGAGCATAGAAAGTCCATTATTTACAGTGAATAACTGCTGGAGATTACAGCTTACTGCCTGAGCTGACTTTCATGAAAGATGATCTCGTTGAGCTTTGATTTGCAGCTGCATTGGCAATATGAGATGATAATAGCACTTGCAAAAGCAGCACTTTGTTTCCCTTTGCAGAAATGAAGTTTCATTTTCCYTTTTCTCCTTTTTGGTACCACAAAAGTGCCAAGGACAGATTTTCTTGGGATGTAGAGTCAGGACTTCCAGTCTTTGTTCAAGCTGGGAGCAAGACTGACAGCTTCAGTGTGTGGGTTTGAGGGTTTCACACTGTGCTGGGGTGTAAGTCTCGTAAGAAATCCCTTGATTCAGAATGCATGTCCTGCCTATACACGCTCTAAACTTGGATGAAGTTCTAATTTAGGACCATGTCCTGCCAAACATCAGAAGGATGACAGAGGTGAGAGCAAGATCTTGCTCACTGGCGAGAGAGCCCTCCTCCTATGAAAACAATATCCCACTGTCCTTTTCAAGCCTCTCTGGCAACCACAACAGCAATGTAAATTAAGCATAACAAAAATGGGATTTGTAGAGATTATCAACTTCTGGTCACCCCCCTCACTTAAGTCTTCCCATATGTTTTCTTGTGGGCATTTTAAGGTATTAAGTTTCTCAGAGGGAAAGCTTCTCACATGGGGGAAAGCAGTAGTGGCAAATGCCATCAGAATGTGCTCATGTTCTCAGCTTGCAGTTTGAACTTACAGCAGTGAAAGGGTGGCCTATAGATTGGTGAGGTGACATACTGGAGTCCTGAGAAGTCACCTATAGGCAGAGGTCCCAGGCAGTACCCGTTTAAAAGGGGTAGATTTCTGTGGATTTTGAGTAGATTTCTATGGATAGATTTCTGTGAGTTTGTGTTAATTCCCCTGCTTTTATAATACTACAGTTTTATATAGAATAGCCTGGATTTCTTGTGTTTCCCAGGGTAAGTTATTATTTGTTTATTCCTCAGGAAAAAAATAGGGAAAAAATCTTTTGTCAAATCTTCTGTCGGTCTAAAGAACATAGTGTTATCCACCTTACCACCCACAAATTAATATCAGTCCTATTCTTTTCATCATTGTAGCTGACTCTTCCCTGTTCTCTGGAGACAGAAGTCCTTCATAGGCAGTCACTCAGCCCAGGAAAGCCGAGTGCCTCTGCAGCAGTTCCTGCAGAGCTCGTCCTTCTGCTGCTGTGTGCATTGAACACCCAGTGGCTTTGGTGGGAGTTTTGCCTGGGCAAGGAATGCAGGATCAGGACCTGTMTGACAGGGAGGAATCTGTGGAGGACAGTAAATAATATATCTCTGGTTGCTGCTTCAGAGCTATAGTAAATTTTCAGCACTCTGCCCACATTATTTCCTCCTCCTCCTCACTCTCCCAGTTGTTTATCTAAATAATCTTCTGAGGAAAGGAGGCAGTACGGGCCTCAGCAGCTTGACTTTCTTTCATTTCAGTCCATATCTCATTAACTTTGTAACAGTGTCAAACATCTAAATAGCTTGATTAACAGCCAAGGAGTTTTTGTTTTTCATTCTTTTCCAGAGATTGTGGCTTCACTGACCTTTTTCCTTTAATGTGAGATATTAGTACTTTGATGGAGATTGGATATTTACTTAAAATAAAATGAGCCTGCATCAGTTTCAGCCACTGATGTGAGAGAAGGGGATGCCATTTGCATCATTCTTTGTCACATTGTTTCATCTAAACTTTGCTGGGTTTCTTTTCCCATTACGGACATGAACTTTCCATTATCAAAGCTGTGCGACAAAAGCTTTTACATGAAAAGTAAGCATTTTTTTTTTCTGGCATTTGTGATATTATGTGTTTATCTTAGAAGTGCCAGTCACTTGCATCTTCCTGAGCTGAACTGAGGCAGCTGGTTGTTGAAATAATTTGCCACTGGGAATAAGTCTTTTTGACTTYTCCTCCGTCTCTATTCCTGCAGATCTCCTGTTTCCCATTGACATCACTTTAGTCAAGCGAGAGCACGACTTTCTGGACAGAGATGCTATTGAGGCCCTATGCAGGTATGTAAAGAAAATGTAAAGAGCCTCTGTGCCAAATATTGTGTACTTTTTATTAACATTCTTTATTCGTTTTTATTACGGACTTCCCACATGGAAGCAGAGCTGTGCTGGCTACAACACAGGGAGCAACAAGACTTGCCTGTGTTTTGTGTCAGTGTCATAGCACTAGAGCCCCAGCGTTGCCAGTCTTGGTGTAAAAGCAGTAATGACGGACTGACAGACAYCAGTCCATCAGTTACCTTCACTGGTGTGAGTCCACAATCTCAAATTGCATAAATACCTTTCCTTATCTTCTGTTGCCTGGATGTGAACGCAGTTTGCTGCCTCTCTCCCTCACTGTGGCAGTTTTCCAAATTGCCCACAAAATGACTGCTGTTGGATACCACATGTACAGTGTCTGCAATTCTAAATGTGAGGAATTCTAGAGAATTAAAAATTCCTTCTCAAGCCATGACGAGGGCTGCTGTATTTGGATGAAGAAGAGAGGAACTGGAATTTAAAGTTCTTCAGAAATATTGGCAAGATTTTAAAGCTAAGAAAATAGATTCATCAGCCAGTCTTTGGGATGGGATAACTCTCATTAATGTGAAGTTCAAGGTGTGGTGCAAGGCATCTACTCCATTAGTAATGAAATGTGGTGAGTTGATCTGATGATTTGTGTGCTCTGAAACTTGTGAAGACACTGAGCAGAAAGTGTGGTGGTGTGAAGAAGGCTGGTTCCCAGAGGAATGGTCTTCCCTTGCCAGGAAAACAAAACACAGTCAAGCCAGCGTATTTTGGATCCATTGCCACRGAAGTACTTTTTAACCTGAGATTTTTATTTCTCTTTTTTTTACCTGAAAGCCTAACAGTTTGGGGGTGGTTTGCATTTTCAGCATGGAGTGTAATGAGCAGTGTAAGCAGCTGATGGTAACAAACTACCRAGTCCTCTGCACTTCCTTCCTGTGCTGAGAATGTGTTTTCTGTGTAACAGCCCTGGTGCTATTAGCAGTCCTAATTGTCTTGGTTTAATTAATGCGTGACCTATGGCAGGAAAAAGTCATTTTGAAACAGACAATAGAAATTACAGTAACGGACTGTTTTTTTAAACTTGAAACATTTTGAATTGTGTTTTACCTCTGAGCATATGTAAATTATTGTTCATTAGTATTATCAATGTGAGCAGGAAAGCTAATATATGTCTTTCAATATAGCTTATTAACAGGCTGCATTCTGCAAAATTGTGTCAGTAAGTCATAAGGTTTTCTTAAAAAAATTTAACTACAGTGTAGTTTGAGACTTGGTTTACAGAGATAGTTTGTTGGGCTTGGTAACAATAGAAGATAAATGGTTAAAAAAATCATTGTGTGATACATATGAGGCCATGATGGAAATCCTGTTTAGTCTCCTTATATGTAACTAGAAAACTGCCACACAGCGTAAGCAAGAGGTTTCTTAAAATTTTTATATAAGATTCCTTAACTCTTTTGCATTGAGGATTTCTCATCCAAGAAATTGATTGTGGCAGATTAGCATGACCAGCACTCACTGCTCGTATAAGTTGGTTTGTAGAGAGCTGGACTTCTTTGCAGGCTAGGACATGCAGCTGGACCCCAGGAGCCAGCATAAAGACTTTGCACTGAACTGAGATAAGAGAGCCCSTGTATCATCATTACAGGTATAGGGGACTGGAATTTGCCCCAAAATAAGGAATTAAGCCTTTAAAACTATTAAGAAAATATTTCAAGCTGAAGTTTAGAGCTAGGTCATATGGTGATGCAGATTGGAAATTGTAGTTTAAAAACCTAATGCACTGCTTTGCTAACTTTCCTGGGTGCAAGGGGCCGAGCTTTCTCCTGTTAATGAGAGCAGAACTAATTACTAATGCTTACAGCTGATAATAAGACTGATGTTAAGGTTAACTAACATTTTCTATTACAGGGCCATATTTATAGATTTGTTGAAATTATCTATTTAAGCTTATATTTTTGATAGTTAATGTCTTGCTGAGGCTGCCTTTCTTGAAAGAAGTTACAGCAATGCTAGTCTGTCTAGTCTAGTCTTTGCTAGTCTTTTAGAGAAAAAGACTAGCAAAAACGCATCGTGTGCTGCTGTAGAGGAGCTCCAGAGGAGCTCCAGTGCTTCATGTTTTTGGTATTGAAGGAATCTCATGCAGCATGAATGTTGTGTTAGTTAACCACCTCTTACCATTTCCATGAAATCCTGGGTAGCATTTCTGTCTTTGTATACAGTATTTCCTATATCCTCTGTAGGAGGTAACTGGAAGTTCTCAAGTGCTCTGTGCACACTGAAAATACAAGTTTTCTTGTAATTGCAGCTTAGARCTGTACAGATCAGTCGAGATTTAGGTACTGGTACTGAAAGCTACATGCAGCTGCATCTGTCACTTGAAGAAGGGTTTTGCAGAGCCAGGTTGAAGGAGGGTGAGAGGCTGGATCAGAGTTCTGCATACATGGAGCACCAAGAAAAGTGACATCTTCAAGAAGGCACTCAGAGAGACACTCTACAGAGCCAAGATCCATTTGGATCAGAAGACCAACAGAGRGAGGTCTGACTCAAAGATGATTATCTCGGTGATGAGCAAGATTAGTATGCTTGCCCATGGTCATCCAGAGAGAAAGTGGCCAGATCAGGAGTTGTTACAGAAATAGAGACTGAGATAGCAGGGCGGTCTGGGTGGATAGAGGAGTTTTGCCCTGTCCCTTGTGGATTCCATATGAAGATGTCGCAGGGACAGGTTGGGGCAGACYGAGACAGAGCTAAAGAATGAGACATAGCTGGAAATTGTCAGTGGAGATGTGGTAAGTTGAATTTATACTTAGGAATGAAATGATCAAGAGATGGGGTCCAGAGCTAGAAATGAGAATTGGGGTTCATTTGCAAGCATCAGGTTGATGAGAAAATCTGCAGAAAATGTGTCCTGAAAAGTGCTGCAGTATGTACACAGAGAGAAGGTTAATTAAAGTTGTGTAGGTAAGTCTCATTCGTGCAAACTCAATAATGTGTTTTAAAGGTTCTTTTGCCTATTGTACTGTGTTTTTATCGTAATAAAGCTCAGTGTAATGTAGTTTAAAGAACTACACACTGATTGACTAGAATCCCCAAGTCAAAGTAGGATGTGTGATACATATATATGTGCGTGTATACATATAGAAGGAAACTTACAGAGCTAAAGCAATCACTGCAGAGCATTTAGATTTAAAAGGAAAGGGTTCTTGTAAATAAATCATTTCAGATGTGTAATAGAGCCTATATGTGAGGGCTGTTACTGTGTTGCATCCTGATCTTGCCTTCATACTCGTTTCTGTGCGGTGTGCCCTGGGGATCTTTGCTGGAGTTCTTCTCTAAAGATCTCTGTGGAAGCAGTCTTTCTCTTCCCTTCTTTACCTATTTCTGGTTTTTAATTTGAGTATGAAAAAAATCTCTGAATTTAATCTTTGTGGAATCAAAGACCRTCTTTATTGGCAGCTAGGCGAGCTAGTTAAAGAAACAGACTGGAGTCAAAGGTTTCAGCACTATAAAATACACCAATTATTATACAATGTGGAGCTGAAACCACATTAGTATGTCCTGGTATTGAGGCCCAGGAGTTGGAAAAGAGAATGTTTTTAAAGCAGAGAAAAGGAAGCAACTTCTTGCCAGTGTGTGGCCTTTTATAACCCAAATAAACAATATCAGTTTTGTTGTGCAGGGCGTGCATGGGATGGTCAATCTTCTCCCACACAGCAAGCAGCAATTCCAAAATGCAGTGGGCTTGTGCATGTACCCACCAACTGCAGCCAGAGGGATTGTGCCTACAGAGTTTAGAAGACAGAGCAAACCTAAAAATTGGGAAATCTGGATAACTTTTCTGCCACAGGCCTACTGTATGACCCATGGCAATTCCTCTTGTTTTTCTTCAGCTCTGTTGCGCCTGGGTCTAATTATAGATCAAACCGTCTCTTTTCTTTTTGACTTCACAACTGCAGTAGGAGCTTTTCCATTTTCTTTGATGGCCTCAGGATGAAGCCCTGTGTAAATACCATCTGCAACCAATCCTGCGCATGAAAGGCGAGAGGAAAGGGAGGAAGCTGGTAACGCTTCCTGCGCACACATTTTCTAGCTTCAAGTTTCGAGTTTCATGAAGCTGAAGAGACTCATCTGAGGCAACAGAACAAGTCAGCATTTTTTTTTAGCTTTTTAGAACTGCTAATACAGTCTCCTCCTGATATTTTGTTTGAAGGAATTATGTGCAAATTACACAACTTCCCTCAGAACGAAGCCGGGCTTTACGAGCCCAGTTCTGCCCCAGTTGAGTTGGGGTTCAGCCCCGCCATGCAAAGGGGGCAGCTCTGCTGCTCTGCCCCCGACCTTCACACGTGGCCTTTCATGCAGCTCCAGCTCCGGGGCTGGGCCTGGCGGGGATTCAAGCCCACAACGTGCTGAATGAGCTTTGTTTTGAGCTCAGCACCTTCCCTCCTGCAGGACAGCCTCCAGTGCAAGCATTGCACAAGCACCAGAGCACTAGGGAGCACGAGGAGCAGGGCCAGGAGAAGGGGCAGGGCGGCTTCTTTTGACTCCTTGCTTTTTGCTATCCTCAAAGTGAGCTGTAGCCTCCCCAGAGCAGCTTCCACCTGATGGCTGCCATTCCACAACCTGCACTTTTCTCCCTTCTGTATCAGTCACAGCCCGTTCCGGCCCTTTGCCTTCACCCAGAACTGACATTAATCCAACCACACTTCACCTGTGCAGTTTTGGGCCCAGCCTTATCTGTCCAAACCTTGAAACCATTTTTGGATTGTTTCAAGATGAGGTATAAAATGAAGCTTGATATTTAAACATAATTACTTCAGTTAACTGATTATAAGGCTCTTCTTAGTCTAAGTTTCTGTTCGCTTCCTTTTCCTTCATTCAGGGAATAGTGAGAAATGGTCATCAGTTCCTCCTCCTGAAGCCAGAATACAGCCACTTTTAGTGGGTTAATGATTAAGTGTAATTAGGGCTTTAATTGGAGCTCTGCTTGTGCCYGTTTGTATGCAAAGACATGTGGACACAGCCTTCACAAAAGCATTTGAACTGGAATAGCTTGTGTCAAAAAAAAAAAAAAAGAAAAAAGAAAAAAAGGATTATTCTCCCAATATGTTTTTCTTTGCTTTTCAGGCGCCTAAATACTTTAAACAAATGTGCAGTGATGAAGTTAGAAATCAGTCCCCACAGGAAAAGGGTAAGTGCCTTTAATATGTTCTGTTGCAGAATTGTACATTAACAAAACTGGAAAAAAAAAAGTAAATTGTTTATCTGTGGTCAAGGATGATACCTGTGTAGAAGCTGCCAAGGACATGAGTCAAAACTCGGTATCCGCTTTATTTTGTGTTCTCACTGAGTGAAAACTGCAGCACTTGGCCATGTATAAAAGTTGGTAGCTTGGCTGGCGCTTTCATGGGATGCTGGCTTTAAATGTAAAATTCTGAGGCCACCTTCACTGCCGGTCAGCGAGRTCAAATGCTTTGTGCCTCATTACCTGCTCTCTGGCAGGACCRTAAAGTGCAGACAGGATGGAGGTGATTCTGACCAGCCAGAGCAAGCTGAATGTTAGAACATCATCTTGACATAATATTTCCTGATTTGGAAATCAGGAAATTGGAATTAGTAGTAGTTAGTAGTATTTTACCATCACATTAGTATTCCTTTTCTAAGGTAGACAGAATCAGTAGGACAATTTTTGGTGTGCAAAGGAAAGAGACAAWCTTTACAGGAGTGGGTATATTGTTTCCTGGTTTTTTAGTTATAGGTCAAAAAAAAGGCAAAAAATAATATGGAATACAGCAGATACTTGAAAAAAAAAGTGCTTGCAAAAAGTGTTTACATATTTCCAGCAAAGTCATCAGGAGTTAAAGTTTCTTTGCTCTTCACAGTTACTATGAAGCATGGTAGTAAATAATAGAATATCCAGTATACTTTCAGTGAGGTGATACCAATAGAAAGCTGAGTCACTGGGTTTTTTTGCTAGTAAGGTACCATTCAAGCATTCAATGGGTGTTTTGAAACTCTGTGTGTGTCCTAGGAGGGATCAATAGCTGATACCATCCCCTGGGATATGACTGTTGCAGATAAAGATGACTAAGCGAAGGCAATGCAAGGCAGCCCTACCCCTCACAAGAATGCATACAAGCGCTCCGAGGTTGTTTACGAGGAATTAATCCCCCCTTTCCTATCTGTTTGTGGTATGTTGGAAACAGCATCCAACCTCCAGAAGATAACAGTCTGCAGCAGCGCATATAGGGTTTCTCCCAAATAGGTGTAGACCACTGGAATGACGTTTATGGCCACCAGAGGATTCGCCCATGTTTCTGAACCTTGTCAACATCAGAGTGATGGGTATTGCTGTTAGAGACCAGACCCAGCTGATCCTCAGCTCCAGACCTTCTGGAGTCTGGATGCTAGTTTTTGTTTCAGTCCTTTCTGATTTTCATGCATTGCTCATGTTCTGGCAGGATCCAAGATGGGCTGTTCTTTATTGGTGTTAACTTCATTAAAGCCATTGTTTAGCTGGTAAAGCTTTCTAACACTAGGAAATCATTATGCTGACTCAGACATGTACTACCTTATGTTTGCACTGACTTTGCAAATTAAAATTGTTTTACTCTTTCTTYTGTTTTTTTCCCCTAAAATCTTGAAATAAGCAAGCTTAAGTTCTCTGAGACATAGACAGAAACATCATCTTGTTTCTTGTAACACAATACTGAAATAAGAACAATTTATTTCTTTTCTAGACTATAAAAGTTTCTGTTCCTGGCACACAAACAGTTTGAAGCATAGACATGTGTTTGTTTTTCAATTAAAGCAATCTAAACAAATCAGGTGAAACTTAGGCACTCTTGGAGCTGAGTGGCAAGTGGTGTTTCCTACTCCGAACACCAAAGGCTGTTTTGGTTTTTCAGGGTGTCGTACTAAGATCTCTGTCCTTGGCTTTATTCTTCCAACTGCGTGCAACTTGAAATTTTCTAGATGAGTGGAAGAGCAAATATGCCAGTTCCAGGATCATTGCCCTTTGGGATTTAGATGAAAAGATTGAGACATAAGTGACATACATGTAATTACGCCCTCGGGCGTTACTCGTACATCAAACATAATTAGTGGAGATGTTGGTTACTATTTACTTATGTGCTACACTGGCAGGGAGCTTTTGTGGCTCACTATCTGCAAGTGTTAAAATTTGCCTGCAGCAAGGCCGAAGCAGAGATTTCACAGGACATTCTTAAAATGTTAGCTGCTGGCCGGTGGGAGGACGAGTGGACCAGCTAAGAGCCTGGAGGCATCAAACCGTTGCAGCGCAGGAGTTTCTTTTGCTGTCTCATTAGTCACAGTTAGGAGACCTTTTAAAGTTCCAGAACGGGTAGGGAATTAAGCTACTACAAGTCAGAATGTACGAGRAGCATCTCTTAATTGCAAAGAGGAGTATAAACACAGAGCCGCTATCAACAGAGTGTAACTTTGGAGAGAGTCCAGAGGGACCCCTAACCCTCACTGACTCCAGTTTAAAATTTTATGCATGCCAGGAATTTCCATTGATCTGAAGGCTATCCACTGTGACCAATTAATTAAAAGTCTATGGATACTGGGAGTTTCAGAAAAGAGCAATTAAAGCAGATTGTATTGTTTGTTTCTTTTTATGAAGCTTGTATCTTTGGTATTTAGAAACAGTTAACATACGTTACCTATCCGGTGTTATCTTTTCCTGTGATGGGCTTTATGGCCTAATCTTCCTCTCATGGAAGGAAAAAAAACCCTTTTTCGCTTTAAATATAGCAAGAACAAAGCGATGCCTAAATTGTTTTAGTAGGCATTGGGTTTAAATGCAACTGCCTTTGCAGTTTTCAGCAGTTTGTAGCAGCACTTTCAGCATTCTCTTCCCTTGCAGAGTGAAGATTCGGATGAAGATGAGCCTTGTGCAATAAGTGGCAAATGGACTTTTCAAAGGGACAGCAAGAGGTGGTCTAGGCTTGAAGAGTTTGACGTGTTCCCTCCCAAACCAGACTTGAATACCTCCTCCTCAGAAGCTCCTCATCTTACGAATGCAGCAAGCCATGAGAGTGTGTTAACAGATCTCAGTGAGCGCCAGGAGGTGGCTTCTATTCTCAGCATGAGTAGCACCAGCAGCCACCAACCAACCCTGCAGAGTGATGCATCTACCACCAGGACAAATTCAGTTGTGAGCGTTTGTTCATCAAACAATTTCATAGCAAATGACGACTCATTCAGCAGCCTGCCCTCTCCCAGGGAGCTCAACAGCTTCAGCTTTGGTATGAAAGCCAGCGAGAAGAACCCCAAGTCCAAAACAAAGAGCCTACTCAAGAGGATGGAGAGCCTCAAAATCAAGAGCTCTCACCATGGCAAAAGCAAAGCTCCTTCAAAGCTTGGTCTTATTATTAGCGGGCCCATCCTGCAAGAGGGGATGGATGAAGACAAACTGAAACAGCTTAACTGTGTGGAGATTTCTGCCCTCAATGGCAATCACATCAGCCTCCCCATGGTACGAAAAAGGAGCGTCTCCAACTCCACCCAGACCAGCAGCAGCAGTAGTCAGTCTGAAACGAGCAGTGCTGTCAGCACACCCAGTCCTGTCACGAGGACACGCAGCCTCAGTGCGTACAACAAACGGGTGGGCATGTACCTGGAAGGCTTTGATCCTTTCAACCAGTCGACGTTCAGCGACGTCATGGAGCAGAACTTCAAGAACAGGGGAAGCTTTGCAGAAGACACTGTGTTTTTTATCCCTGAAGATCACAAGCCTGGCACCTTTCCCAAGGCACTCTCTAATGGCAACCTCTCTCCAACAGAAAGCAGCGCTTCTGTGAACTGGAGGACAGGGAGTTTCCATGGGCATGGCCACCTTGCCCTCCGGAGGGAGAACAGCGGAGACAGCTCCAAAGAGCTGGGCATGGGGAAAAGGCGCAACTCCTCCAGCTCCGTGAGCAGCCGCCTGAGTATTTATGACAATGTGCCGGGCTCAGTTCTGTATTCCAGTACCAGTGATCTAGCTGACCTCGAAAATGAAGACATATTTCCAGAACTAGATGACATCCTGTACCATGTCAAAGGGATGCAGAGAATAGTGAACCAGTGGTCAGAAAAGTTCTCAGATGAAGGGGACTCCGACTCGGCACTGGATTCTGTTTCCCCGTGTCCTTCCTCTCCAAAGCAGATCCATCTCGACGTAGATAATGATCGGACGACACCAAGTGACCTTGACAGTACAGGAAATTCCCTGAACGAAACCGAAGAGCCCTCAGGGGTGCAAGACCGAAGGGACTCCGGGGTGGGCGCCTCCCTGACGCGGTCCAGCAGGTGAGTTCCCGAGCCCTCAGCCTGCAAGTTTGGCCATGCGCAGATTAGGCCAGGTCACCTCTGGCCTAAGGGACTCCAACTGTACCAAGCTCAGTTAAGGCCTTGGTGCAGTAGATGCTGTGGCAATTCAAGCACGCACATGCTGTTCCCGTTACTTTGAAAAACAATTCYGGCCAGCAAAAGGTTTTTTTTACAGTATTTGTGATTCCTACCCTGTATAGCTRGCTATGTGTGTTCAGCTTGAGTTGTGACTGAAAAACAGCCAACTCAGCRAGTCAGGAGCAATGTTCGGGCAGTTTTGAGGGATGGTAGTTCTTCAGATTGAAATGGTGCGTGGGAGGGAAAGGGACCTACAGCAGGTTTATTCTGTTTTTAAATTGGCTAAGAGAGCTAATGTAAGTGTAGTCTGTTTTGTGTCAGTATGTAGGAAAAGCTTTGTCTTTAGACTGTTTCAAAATATGGTACTTTGCAGTAGCGGGCAGCTTCTTAACGTGGTAGGGCATTGAGTCCATGGGGAAAATGAAGCTTGTTGACTTTCTCTTCATTTCAGTAGCACAGTGGGGGGTTGGGAGAGCTCCAGCGGCCTCCCAGTTTGTGTTGGGAGTTGCACCATGGGCTGGATGTGGCTGAATTTTGCATTGTGATTAAAACAAGCATTTGGATTCTTTCTAGCTTTGTTTCCAGTTTCCTTTAAAACTGATGTAAGTCACTTTGGGCCTGGCTTCTGCTGTCATTTAGTTGCCTACAGCTGCCTATATAAACATAGTGAGACTTTCAGAGATGCTTAACTCCCAATTAATGTGTCTTAAGGTTTTGGACTCTTTTCTTCTTATGGAGTTTGTTGATTCTGACTACTTTAGGAGTGAAAGGGGTTGTGAAAACCATGCCTGGAGCACTCTGAGGGTGTCTGGTGGTGCGAGACCACACTGTTAACACGCTCAGAGCACAGTGCAGCTGGAAACRCCCGCACGTGCTGCTTCACACGTGGTGAGTCAGAGGCGCTTAACACCTGATGCCTCTGAAACCTCAGCAGATAAGGGCTGCTTAGCAGGACGTTTGGGGTAGTGCTGCCCATATCTCGCAAAGCCTCTTCAGTGACCAGCCCCTGCCCTGTTCCCTGTCTCTCTGCAGGCATAAGCTGCGCTGGCACAGCTTCCAGAGCTCCCACCGGCCCAGCCTCAGCTCCGCATCGCTGCAGATCAACTGCCAGTCGGTGGCACAGATGAACCTGCTGCAGAAGTACTCTCTCCTGAAGCTAACCGCCCTCCTGGAGAAGTACACGCCTTCCAACAAGCACGGCTTCAGCTGGTAAGGGCTCAGAGCCATGTGCATATTTATGCAAGCACAACAGTTTTGCAAGGCCTAAGCAAGTTTTGAGAGAACACGACTAATTCCTCCATTCCTCTTCTTTCCATATTTGCACTTCTTCATGCCATGTGCTGACAGTGGTTCGTGGTTGCCTAAGACAGTGCTAAAATCACTAGCCCTTTGCCTAAGTGTAATACTGTTAGGATTGAGAAATATGTTTCTAGAGACCATGGGAGGGAATAAAGCAATGAAGTACAGGGCAGCTTTCTGTGCAGGAAAATATCTGCTTTCCATAGCAAAAGAAGAATATAGAGAGGCAATTAGTGAGTGGTAGCAAAACCATTAACTGATCTAAAGATACATACTTTTCTTTGTTTGTTCTTAAATATTTTCATTAGTTTCCCTATATAATTATGCCATTAAATAATGCAAGTTTCCTTTAGTTCTAGTAGTTAACTGACAACTCTCTCCTCTTTTTAATGCACAATAAATCAAGTTAATTTGTAGTGAAAATAAGCGGGACAGGGGGAGAGAAGACAGACTGCAAGAATTGTGAAGTTCTCTGCAGCCAGCAATTCCTGTTGTAGATGGGTATTTGTAAACCAAGTTGGATGTTTTGCGTCAGATGAATGAGATAGAAATGTCTTTTATTATTGTATCTGCAGTGCAGCCTGTGTAGCCTTCAGGATGCGAAAGATGCAATAAAATTTTTCTTCTCCCCACCACACACCAGCCTCCTCCCTTCCCCAGGAGTCACAGAGAGCATTTAACTCCAGCATCAAAGTACCTCCTGGTCAAAGGCTGTTATTATGTCAGCCTTTCTAAATACAGAAGTTGTTTGTTCTGAAAGACAGAAATAAGTATTGACCGGTTATCCCTGCATGCTTTGGATTCTCAGTGGAGATCGCAATGTGTTTTTTTCACATTCCATTGGCATGTTTTTTGACAAAGCAAGTATTATTCATGCATATATCAATGATGCCCTAAACTTAACTGCATGGCAATACAAATTGGTTCTGTTTTTCTATATAACAGATTAGTCAGCCATAAATCTAATGGAGTGTTTGTATAGCTGTACTGTATATTGAAAAGATAAATGGGTCTCCCTGTTTTCCATGGCTACTGTGTCCTATTAGCTGTTGTGTAGTATGTTAACTTTTCTTCTGTTTAGGAAAATGATCTCAATATTTTCACATATTAGTGGATTWTTTCCCTTATGAAACCAATGCTCTTGGGGATCTAGGAGCAAAAGAAGTCACTTTTGTACCTAGTGACTTTTTCCTTGGAGTCAAAAGCAAATGGAAAAGCCTCTCACTGAAACTGGAGTAGGAGGTGGAGTTAATGACAGTAACTGGTTGATGAGGAGGGAGTCTCTCAAAGGGGTTGTTTATAGAGCTGAAGTTTTTAGATGACAAACTCAAATGTATTACACCAGTTTCCTGCTGTTCTGCRCACGGGTGGGTGGTGGACCCACTTTGAGGACTTTGCAGAACAAGTAGTTGACATACAAAAGCTCATTGTTCAAATGTCCATCTTTCCTGAAACCTAAAGAAGCAGTGTTATAAGGGGTCATTGACCACAGGATTTATTTTGACTCTTTTGCAATTCAATCTGGCCCCTGCAGTTTTACCCTCTAGCTTTTATCCTGCTAATATTGATGGAGTAGCACCATATTAATACTCACAGGCATCACACCACCCTGAATGTCGAGTCTGTCTCTTAGCAGAACTCCAGCTTGTGTCCTTCTTCCCTCCCTTCCAGCCCTGAATGAATTAGCTAGTTCATATTCTCAGCACTTTTCCTGTTGCTCAGTGTACTAAAGTTGTTTCACCTTCACTAATGTTTCAAGTTACTGAAAACACATGAGATAGAGAGAAGTTTAACTTTGTCATTCCCTTGGCTTAAATAGGGCAGTACCAAAATTCATGAAAAGGATAAAGGTGCCAGATTATAAGGACAGAAACGTGTTTGGAGTGCCACTGCAAGTGAACGTTCAGCGCACAGGGCAGCCCCTGCCACAGAGCATTCAGCAAGCGATGAGGTACCTGCGCAACCACTGCCTGGATCAGGTGAGTTTGTCTGAACTGCACACACCCACTGCCCAAAACCCTACATTCCAGTAGTTTTTATTATTTCTGGGTCAGGCTGTGAACATAGAGTCAAAACAGATCAAAACAATTAATCAATTGAAGTAAAACTTTCCATGAAATTAGAACCTGTGAATAAGAAGCTAAAGAACGCACTGACATTTCAGACTTGCTAGACTCAATGTGAATGTATTTAACTTTCCATATACAAATATGTTTAGGTTGGACTGTTCAGGAAGTCTGGAGTTAAATCAAGAATTCAGGCTCTGCGTCAAATGAATGAGAATTCAGCAGACAGTGTTAACTATGAAGGCCAGTCTGCTTATGATGTAGCAGACATGTTAAAGCAATTCTTCCGTGATCTTCCCGAGCCTCTCATGACCAACAAACTCTCTGAGACCTTTTTACAGATCTACCAGTGTAAGTACCAAGATTTCTAAATCTAGGCAGCCAGTTGGCATTTGTGTAGCTAATATTCCTCCTCTGGGCACTATACATGTTGTACCCGTAAGATGATTTGTCACTAAATTCCACTGTCATCTTTGTTTTTCTCCAGTATCCATTATGATTTAGGCTGTGTTGTAGGGCTGTTTTTTTTTTTTCTTTTTGATTGTTCTGCTTATGTAATAATATGGAGTTCGAGTTCTTTAATTTTCACCTTTCTCTGTAGTTTGGGAACAAATATAGAACCGCCATGACATCACTCTAAAATTTCCTCCCCTTTCTGAGTATGCTTGATATTACTGCCTGAAAATAAACCACATCTGATGTGGCTAGGTAGAGGACCTAAGCAAACACTGTATGAACAGAGTGTGGGGTTTTTGAGGGGTTTGTAAATCCACTCCCCAATAACTGAGACTTTTTTTTTCAAGATTGGGACTGCCAAAAATTTGGGTGTTTTTTTGTATTTCACGTTATTTCATCTTTCACCGCAAATTCACTCACYGTATAAAACGGATAAAGATAGATTACTATTTTGCTGATCAGAACTCCTAGGTCTTTTGAAATCCTCAGGGAGGTCCAAGCTGACCTGCTGTGGGCACCTTTTGACTCTGTGGTTTCCCTCCCTAACACTGCCCTGGCTCCCTTCCCRTGGAAGCACAACTCCAGCTCTCCAGAGCCTTCCTCAGGAGATGGCACTAAGGCTTTACAGCATCCAGGGCCCTCCTTCAGAGTTCCATAGGTGACAGTTTAAAATGAAAACATACGCGCTGCTATTTCAGTGCACACTTTTTTTTTTCTGTTATTCTTTGTTTGGATTCCCAAGAAAGTTTATGGAAAAAATGAATCAGGCTCCCCATACATACTCTTTGCATACTACATGGCAATTCTTTCTGGCTTTAGTACCCACAGTAGTTTGATGTGGTATTGCAGAAGTCTCTCTTCCTGTGCTTTCACAATCAATAAGTCCAAGAAATTTCCAGAGGTGGCGGGACAGTGTTATCTGCTGCGTAGAGAACCTTCAAGCAACAGTATTTTTGCTAACATGCAAAGGGCAAAATTTCCCTTCTCTTTGAAGAAGGATTCCTGCATACATACAGGAATTGTCTGTACGTGACTTATACATGYTGTGAGCTGATTGAGAGGAGAGTAGGAAAAAGAGTGGATTTGGGGTTAAAATTGCATTCTGAACTCATTTTCCAACCTTACGAAGTTGCTGAAGCCCAAAGCAAATACAAATTAAATATCTGGTTAGTAACACRTGTATTAGGAGTCATGCAACAGTTTTCTGTGGGAGCAGTGATGGTATAAATGCTGGAAGACTCAGACTCTTCATGTTTTCTTCAGAGAGGGCTTGCTGGAAATCCCTTTATAAGAAGCAGATCTGGTCTGGGTTATTTCATTATTTGTTCCCTTCGAGTTTGGAGGGGAGAACCTTTATATAAAGACCCACGTCAAATTTTTCCAATGGATGTTTGTTGTTAGTAACCAAGGAGCTGTTTAATGGTATGGGGCTTCACATCATTGACTTTCTTTTTCCACCGCGTGACTTTGAAAAATCTGTTCAATAAAGCAACCTCTGTTTGGTAAAGCACTTTCTGGGTATTTTATGACATCATTGTTGAAAAGGTTTGCTGGCCAATTTATCTAATTGATTCACCTATTCTAAAATACGTTAATGTTTTAAAATTCTTTGAAAGCCAAAGAATTTTARCTACAGTCTAAATTGGCTGGACTGTGTTTGCTTGTTCGCTGCCGGAGTCCAGGCTTCTGTCATTTTAGTGCATCCGCAGGAGCATGGAGCTGCCGAAAGTAAATCTAAAATTAACTCTGCCCTAGGCTCAGCTCCTTCTTGCTTGCCTTTCTTGTGAGGCAGGAAATAACTGAGGGCAGTTAAACTCTAGTGGGTTAAAAAAATTCCTTCGTGTTTCCTACGAATGGTATGCATCCTGAAGGAAATCGCTTCAAACTCGAGTCAAATATTTGAAGCTGGAGTTTGCTTTGGGATGTATTCATGCTGTGTGTGTGGAAAATCAATGGGCTGATGAGAGAATTACTAATATTATGCAGATGTGCCAAAGGATCAGCGTCTCCAGGCTATCAAGGCTGCCATTATGCTTTTACCCGACGAGAACAGGGAGGTCCTTCAGATTCTTCTCTATTTCCTGAGCGATGTCACAGCTGCAGTGAAGGAAAACCAGATGACACCAACCAACCTGGCTGTGTGCTTAGCACCTTCCCTCTTCCACTTAAACACTCTCAAAAGGGAGAATTCCTCCCCAAGGTACGTGTCCAGAGAGCACAGCTCATTGCTGCTGTTGTGCCGCTAGCATCGCCGGGTYGCGCGCGGTGACTTCCCTCCCATCCGCCCTGCTGCTTTTGGTCACTGTGGACACCTCAGAAGATACCAGGCTTAGAAGGCTTTTTCAGTCCTGCTTTTGTTTTGTTTGTTCTCTACAGATTTGTTAAAATAGAGATGAGTTCACCAAAGGGGATAAACAGAGCGATTCCAAAGAAAAGTTTAGTTAGTAGCACCATGCTGAGATTCTGTCCCCAGCAGCACTGCCCTAAATCACCAGCAGATTTTGAAATCCTACTGTTTTCTCACCAAACAGCTTTCTTGTTCTTTATTAAATAACTGGATTTATATGTGTGTGCTTTTCTCCTCTGTGAAGGRTGATGCAAAGGAAACCAAGCCTGGGAAAACCTGATCAGAAAGACTTAAATGAAAATTTGGCTGCAACCCAAGGGCTGGCTCATATGATTGCTGAATGCAAGAAGCTCTTTCAGGTAAAACATTTATCTGCAGAACTCATGGGTGGAATATTGGCCAATGTGGTTTAGATCTGCTGTTTAATGGAAATCCAGGAGTGTCCCTTTAGTTCAGGGGTGTATGTAGATTTATTTTCTTTAAAGTCTGCRTCCTGCCCTGGGTGCCTATGTGAATGAGAATTGGTGCCAGGAGAAAGGAAAATTGTTTGGTGACACTGGCACTCAGAAGTCATGAGACCATTGTCCTGCGGTTTGGGGCTTTTTAGGACATCCAAGCTGCATCTAAAACATTCTTTCAAACGTTGCTTGTGCAGACATGGGGATCTGTGAATTTCAGTTTTAATTACAAAGCAAAGCACTATTTCTAGGAAATTCAGTGGGTTTTTATATGTAAATTCCTAGGAGTTAGCAAGGCTGGTCCACAAAAGCATCCTGGAGCATGACACTATCAGACTATAGGTCAAAAAGTCTGTAACAACTAACAAATGCTACCTAACAAATGCCTGGGATAGAGAACCAGAGAAGTCAGAGCCCTGGCTTTCCTCACTGTCCTCAAATCTTTACAGAACCCACCACTAAAGACTTGCTGCCTCTCTCCTCACAACTGGCAGCTGACCCCTGCTTTGCTCAGTCTGCAAGATAAACTGCAACGTAGAGATCAGTCCAAGTTGTGCAGCTCGGGAGGGATGGTGCTTAGAACAGATTGGAAAGAAGGCTTGCCATAGCTGAGAGACTGCTGTAACGAGTATGCATGGGCAGGCCAAATCAGGGTCACACACACACACCAATTTAATTGCTGTGAAGTGCTTCACCTCACAAATACATCTCTTTAAAATACGGTTCGTATGTAGGTGATACCTAGATGTAATTGTGAGTTACATACACATACATACGATAAATATCTCTAAGCATCTTCTTTTCTGTCACAGAGTGTTACTACTGACAACTCTGTATTCCAGAGTGAAGGGAGGAGGCAGGGAGCGTCTATGAACAAGAGACTACTTCAGTCTCCAGTGTGTGGTTGATGTTTTAAAAAGAAAAAAGAAAGAATAGTTGAATGTTGAAGARCTGCATGTACCCTGTGGCCTACAGAGGTAGCGTGCCCCTAGGCTAAGCTCTGAGATTTGGAGAGAGGGAGTTGCAATAGGATGACTTTGTCCTTGTCACCCCCAGATCCCCGAGGAAATGAGCAGAGGTCGGAACTCGTACACGGAGCAAGACCTGCGGCCCCTCAGCCTGGAGGAGCTCAGGGGCAGCAGCAGCACGGAGCCCTCCGACTACCACTGCTACCTCCAGGACTGCGTGGATGACTTGCTCAAAGAGATGAAGGAGAAATTTAAGGGCTGGCTCAGCTGTTCCACCTCAGAACAAGCAGATCTGGCCTACAAGAAGGTATGCACCCTATATTGCACTCTACTGCTCTGTTTCTTAGCCCATCTTAGTCCATCTAYGATGTAGAATATTGCAGAAGGTTCAGCGCACACCCTTATTTTGCAGAGACTTAAGAAAGGAACCAGTTAATCTTTTGACAGACTATAGTTGCACTTCATTTGGAACAACATGTCTTTCATGTCTTAAAAATGYCTTTTAGCAGCAGGCTCCTAATGTATAGTGAGATGTGTTTATCCAGCCCAAGACTGTTCAATGTATTGTGTTTACAGGCCTTCCTTCATTCACTTGGACCTAGGTCTTGATAGGCTGAAGGAGGATTCCACGCACTTTCCCTAAACTGCAGGCAATAGGAAACAAGCAGCTTGCACAGCTTGGAGTTAGYACAGGAAGAACTGTTTCAGCAGGATTTGAGTTAATATATCAAAAAAGTAACATCGGAAAATGAGAATATTTTCCTGTAGCATTATGATTGAATAATGCTCATACTGGGAAAGATTACTGTAACTTAAAAATAATTTGGAAGTCAGCATGCAGATGCCTTCAGGCTGTAATGAGAGCAAAACAACCTCAGTGTGAATGTATGACAGTCTTAGCACAATATAATTCCTTTTGTAAGTTGCTGTGTTTCTCCAACACTGAAATAGAAGGGAGAAGGAAGTGTAAACAACAGTGAAACTGAGGACTGCATGCTGATTTTTTTTTTTTTTTTTTTCCCCCCGCCTCAGGTATGCGAAGGTCCCCCGCTCCGGTTATGGAAAACTACAATTGAAATCCCTGCTACACCAGAGGAAGTTTTAAATCGTATACTTAAGGAGCAGCATCTTTGGGATGAAGATCTTATAGATTCTAAAGTGATTGAAACATTGGATAGCCAGACAGATATATACCAGTACATCCAGAACAGCATGGCACCTCAGCCAGCCAGAGACTTTGTAGTCTTAAGGTAAATTACTCATATACAGTTCTCTTAATGTCACCCACACACTAACTTTACCTATAGAATTTATGTAGTAAAGGATGTTATATGGATACATATCTTTTTATGTTTAATTAGAAGTTTATTAGATGTTTGAATTACTGTGTACTGAAGACAAATCCACTTTTTTATTGATTTGTTTTTTTCTCTGTAGAACCTGGAGGACAAACTTCCCCAAAGGAGCTTGTGTTCTCCTGGCAACCTCAGTGGATTACGACCATGCTCCAGTGGCAGGTGTCAGAGTCAATGTCCTGTTGTCTAGGTATCTGATTGAGCCCTGCGGGTCAGGAAAATCTAAACTTACCTACATGTGCAGAATTGATTTAAGGTATGGGCTTCTACCTCTCAGGTGGTAACTTTTTATGTCCTTTCCTGGGGGTAATTTCTCTTACGTGTAGCTTTTCCTGAAGCCAGCRCAGAATTCAAACAGTGCAACCACTTTACTTAGCCAGGGGTATGTACATTTCTGAAATGCATGTGCAGAGGACAGGGGTGTCGTGTGTGTCACTGCACATCTCAGAGCAGTTGTTTGTTGCTTCACATTAGGRGCCCACACTGTGTGCTGTCTTTCGCATGACATCAATGTCACTTCTTGTGTCTTCTTATGGCCTGTTATGGTCTATGACAGAGAGAAGAGCAAAGCTGAATATCAGTAAGGCTGCGTCAAGCAATAAGTACTAATAGGATTTGCCAGAGAGACATCTAATCTAGCTCTTTTGATTCTGACTAAGGAATTGTGTTCGATGTTAGTAGTATCTATTTCACATTTACCTTTTCTCCTTGCATCAGGGGCCACATGCCAGACTGGTACACCAAGTCCTTTGGACACTTGTGCGCGTCTGAAGTAGTTAAGATACGAGACTCCTTCAGCCATCAGAGTCTTGACAGCAAAGAAGTAAAATCCAGGTGACTACCGAAGAGGAAGAGCTGCGCGCTCCGCACGCCAGCAGTGCCCGTTACCCGAAACTGAGGCCTGGGCTGGTGTACGACCTCCTGGGCTTGCCGTGGAAGGATGGCAGCATGAGAACCTGACTGTGAGCATTGCTATAGGACTGTGGCCATACCATACACTTCAAAGCTGCTTCCTGTCTGTGTAAGGTCTATAGTGTAGGCCTCGACTGGAATACGTAGGAGGACTGTGCAAAAAGGTCTTGTACTGTTAGATGGTGTGAATTGCTTCTGAGAAGCAAAAATCTTTAAATGCAAATATATTATGATATATGGTGAAGGCTCATCATTCCCATGTGAAATATTTAGCTTTATGTACATACCCATGTCATTTTATTTGTAGTGCTCTGAGGGACTGGTGTATCCACTGGAATAGTTGGTACTCTTCAATGTGTTCTCACTGAGATAAGCAGAGAAAGGTTTGCACAGATTAAAGTGTGAATGAGTGTGTTAATGGTTGAAAGGATAGCAGAAGTCGAGCTTGAAATGTGTCTGGAACACTGATAGACAACCAGAGTGGATTTTAGCATATTGGTTACAGTTCAACCTCAGATTTGATGCCCTGTGGACCAGAAGGTAGCCATCCTTCCCACTCCCAGCTGTAAACTTTCCTCGGCTCTAATATTGTTACAATCTCCATGCAGATGTTATAATAATAGAYGTGCTCAGATTGGTTACTATTCACTCCTTATCCAGACCATCTTTTTTTAGGAGTGATTAGCAACTCTTATAGCAATTTTAAATAAATGTGCTTTTAAGCAACGTTGCAGCTTAGAACTACAATGCCTTTGCAGTGGTCAAGAGAGCCAGTAATGTAAATTGTTATATTACCTAATAATATTTGTTGCATTGACTCCTACCTGCATTAACTATATGCGTTGCAATGAACTTTTATGTGTTTGCTGTGTTCTAATGGTGCGAGAGGAAAACATGAACAGTGGAGCTCTTGGCAGGACTCCTACAGAGGCAGATGGAGTAAGGTGACGAGGAAGATTCCTAACAGTTCTCTCTCTTTCTCCTTGGCTTGTTTTTTTCGAAAAGCTACATGTTAACATGAACAGAACCAGAGTATGAGCAATGAGGGCTTCCTTTGGGGGCAGAGAGGAGGACAGGCTTATGTCTTGCGTACTGTTTTTGAAGGTTTTTGTTGTTGTTTTTCTTTTGTTTATTTGTTTTAACCTTTTGGGATTCACCCCCATCCCCCCTTGACCATCTTATTCTATGAACTGTAGGGAATCTTGAGGTCTTCTGGAAAGGCATCTTTCTGTAGGTTTTACTGTAAAGATAGGGATTTGCTTTGGAGGTGCAGTATTAAGTGATAAATGTATTTCGTGGCTAAGGTATGAATGAGTTGCAAGATGGAAATTTGACTGAGACTTTGTTACCATTGTCAGTATTATTTTAAGCTTTTTGATGAAGTTTTGTTTTTGTTGTTTTTTTTAATTATGGCAAATAATGTAGTACTTCCAGTAACAGTGTTCCTCATGGGTAGGAAAATCGTGTATATTCTTCTACATCAAACACTTTTGAATTTGTAAAATTGTATGTTGTACATACCATTCTATTGTAAACATGTATACTTGCCCACAGTGTACTGTCAAACATAGATAAAGCATGGTAAAGATTATTTAAAATATACCTGTATTTATACCTCAGATATTCTTTTTGGGTTTTTGTACCTCAAGTAAGTTTTCTATTGTAAATGTGCTTTACATGACTATGGTCTAAGCGAGAGAAAGGAAAATGTTTAACTTGCTATATATGTCTGTACAGAACATAATCAATAAGTGCACTATTAAATGTTTAAAATAGGAGCAGTACAGCATCTTTATTCTGCCTTCTTCCTTCTGCTGTCACATCCTCAGTGTATTCCTGGAAGGTAAAATCCCTCTTCCCCTGATCTCCCAGGGCATTTTTGGGCCTCACTGCTTGCCAAGGCCCAGACTGAAAGGCTGCAAAGGGAAATTCACAGGGATAACATTAAGCCTCCGATAGTTTAAGATCCTTTTATGCTTCGTGACTTTTCCTAGTGACCGGTTAAAGGAAAATCTTGCCCCAATAAAAGCAGCTTGGGACAGACTTTGCTGTCATCACAGATCCAAGTGGACCTACCCAGTCCTGGCTTACCCTGGTCTGCTCCTTTCCTCAACCGACCGCCTGTATTTCCTTAGCGGTAGATGGCAGGAAATGGCTCCATCTGACCATTAACAAGGCTGGTAAAGTAGCTCAAAAAATACGGGGAAAGTAGCAGTCAGTAACTAAAGAAATTTATTWCCTAAGAGAAGAGATGAATGTGAGAGACTAATTTTAAATAGGTTTGTTGAGTCACCTGGGTTACCCAGGTTATTTATCTGTTCTTAGTTACAAAAAAAWACAAAGTTCCATGGCCACAGATTCCTTAGATATTAGTACCAGCTTTTTTTATCACAACTACTGACTCTTAGGCACACTTACATAATTTTTAAAGCCAGATAGTAAAGCAGTTTCAAAATTTGGGGACTATTGACTTCCCGATGGCAGTCAGTTGGACAGAAATACTCCCTAGGTACCAGTTACTTATTCCTCCTTAAAAGCAAAAATAAGCAGCTGTTTTGCTACTGGTTTGGTGAAAGGTACTCTGGAATCTGACAGGAAGCAAAATCCTACTCTATAGATAGTCAGGTGAAATGCTGAAAAAGAATGCTCTCTTTCTATGGYGAGAGAAAGCAGGAAGAGTTCTGGAATCCTACGTTCTCTTAAAAAAAAAATTACGTGTGAAAGTAATTGGAGAAAGTTAAAGCATACACAGCAATGAAGCGAAGCCAAAGAGAAGGCCAGGAGGATATACAAACAACTGACTAAGGTGAAAAATGAAGCCAAAGACAKCTGTTAATTCAGGCAACTTTAAGAAGCGTTTAAAGTCTCAGCCAACAGAAATACAATTTGGGCATTTGAAAGAGGCTTTTGATTTGCGAGGCTTTAATGACATATGGTCACCAAAGCTGGGCCCTCCTTTCGGGGCAGGATTATCATCCAACTGTCTCCACCTGAGCACCATGAAGTCCAGATGCCCGTCAGGGTCCATCACTTTCTTTGGGGAGAAGCCAGAGCCTGGCAAGAATGAACCTCATGACCCTGTGGCACCAGTTCTCACATGCTCGAGTCCTTCAAAGATCCTGTCCGATAAGGGCCCAATTTCTCTGGCTCTTTAATGGTCCTTCTTTCCTTCTTTCCTTCTTTCCTTCTTTCCTTCTTTCCTTCTTTCCTTCTTTCCTTCTTTCCTTCTTTCCTTCTTTCCTTCTTTCCTTCT